TCTATTCGTCGCAGCTAAGTAATGGTAATGACCTTAAATACGATGGTCGTTCCAACTCGCGATAGCGAAAAGGAAGTCTGATAGCTGCCTTTCCATTCGCGAATACAAGCAGGAGTAGAAACACGCATGACGCACCGCTTCTCCGTCTGTTATTGCGCGCACGGACGTTAAAACTAGATCAAGCTTTCACGATCTCCCGACATTACCGAAAGAAGTGAAACCACCCCGGATGATGTCGTACCGCGATGCCCCTCCGCCAAACCGTTGCGCCAAACTTGCCTGACCGAGTACGCAATGACACGCACAATCGGTGACTCCTTGACTCCTCGACGCATCGCGAAACTTTCGCCGAGAGATCGAGCATCAAGGAAACGCAACCTGGCATCCGTAAATTATTATCGTTCCTTTCTGACAAACGTCCTTGCCGGATTTGATTCTAGTTACATAACACGTGCTCTTTTGTGCTACGCGCTGTTTATACGCGATCCCTCACTCCTTTGCGATTTCAAGAACACTCTTTGTCGCAAAAAATCTTACAGAATGTGTGCCCGATATCTACTTTATTTTACAATATTTATTTTATTTTCTTTCTATTGACAAATTTTATGTCTTTGCTTTATTTCATTACTACTCGATTTTCGAGATTAATAGGTTTGTGCAATTTAACTCTCGCTCTCAGTTTATTAATTATACATTGTTATACATGTATATTATTTCAGATTATTAATATAGAATAATCAGCGATGCGTTTTCAACGCGGAATATTCCGCACAATTATGATATATGACACTTTTTTTTTTGCTAGATGGATAAATACATGAATATCTATAAAACAGTTTTTGCTCTTATATTCTTATTATTATATCTTTTCTGCGTAATAAATTGCCTGTTACTGTCAGTTGACTTGTCAGTGTTATTAACAGCATATTATCAACAGCATTATTGATATAAATTGCTTTATTAATATTAATAAAACAAAAACTTTTTTAAACTGTAATAATTAAATATCATCTGATATCTATGTATGAGACTTATGTAGAAAGCGTAAGACGCGCGGATCAGAAAAAAATCCCAATATACTCATAGATTATAAAAAAACTTTTGGGAAATTACTAAAATTATAAAAAGTAAATATTTTATATTTTGAAATCAGGTTACTTATTGTTTCAGTTTTGCCGACAATAATACGGGTCTTTGTTTCGTCGATCATGCATTACTTCTTAATTAATGCAATCATAATTGGCTTTCTTTAATTAGATCATCTTCCACGAAGAACCGCAACCGCGCATTTAATTGCCATCGATAATCAGTCGCTTCAGAGAATCGAAAAGTCTTTCGATTTATTAATTAATAAGCATGCTAATTAAATGCAAATATTTACTTTATGTATAATTAAATCATTCAAATATTAAGAAAAAAAATTGCTATTGAAATTACAGATTTTGTTAATATTAAACAATTTATTGTTTTTTTTTTATATAAACGAAAGAATATCAATCTTTTTAACTAATTGCAGCTTTTAAAATATATCAACGTTTTAAATATATTTATGTTTGTTTTAAGTATATCTACGTTTGTTTTGTACATATTTTTAATACTATTGTAAACGACAAATATTGTGTATTATTATTCTATACCAAAATAAATTTTGTCGAATATAATACTCTTATCGAAATCACAATAAATCTTTGTTTTTCAACATTGATGTTTACTTATCCCATTGACTCTTTTCGACGTATTCGCGTCTTGAATGCCAGCAAATATATTTATTGATACTACATACTTCGTAAAGAAGTTACCATGCTTTGAAAAAGTTGAAAAAATACGATAAGAACATCTTATTTTCTCTCGCAAAATATATCTTTTTTATATTCATCGAAATTTTTGAATATTTTTGAATATTAAACGCGTCTCATATATTAGTGCATTTTATTTTAAATTTGCCTTGGATTAAGATACTGTTGTAGCAATATCAACAATATTCGTCTGGCGTGTGTCTTTTTAGTTTACGCGCAACGGGAATTGAAATAGTTTAGAGCGGCCTCGAAAAATTGAGCAAAAATTATTACACACGAGCACGTAATCGCGTTTCAAATATTCCCATTTTTAATGATTTCTCTTATGCACCAATGGACTTATCTGAACAATGTCTGATGCTAAATTGACATAAGACAACGTCATCTATTCGGTGTAAGCAACAATTACCACACGAAAACAATAGAACTCCGCCATGCAGTAACTTAATGCCATCTATGAAAATCGGGCACGAACTTATGCAATCATCCAATAGTTTAGAGTGGCCTCGAAAAATTGAGCAAAAATTATTACACACGAGCACGTAATCGCGTTTCAAATATTCTCGTACCCTCCTCTCTACCTCGTGCTGACGTTAAGTTGCTTTCTCGGGGTTTCTTCAAATTTCGAAATGATCCGTACCGACCGTATTAACTTGAGTAATACTCGTGAAAAGAGGCGATCGCTAAGGAGGGACTTTCCATTTCTTCCTTGGTGTGAAAAACATCGCGCAATTCCGGTAATTAAATGTTAAAGTAATCTGCTCGCGGACCGAAACTTCGACCCTTGATATGGAAACCGTTATCTTGATGCAACCGCGTAAGTGCGAGTGCACCGAGACTACGTGTCCAAAAATCGTGGACGGGAAGTGTATATAGATTGCAACGATTTGAGCACTATGTTGTCAGACGCAATTCTGTTTTTATACGATAATCGATGAATTTTTTGCTCGTATTATTCAATCGTGCGATAACGCAATTACATTAACGAATGTCATTCGCTGCTGGATAGTCCCTTTTTGGAAATTTCTGAAATTATCCTGCAACAACAACTCGTTTGCCTCGCGAGTAATGATACAGCAGTACGACACGTATGAGCAATACAAGGTAAAGAGGAAAATAATGATTACTCCTTCCGCATTGTCGACCAATCTAAGAAGAGAAGAGTGCTTCAACCGCTTTACGTTACCGCAAAATGAGCCGGACACGATGCAACAATTTGACATTTTTTTGAAATATCTAATATATAATTCAGAAATTCCGAAATAATATGCATATTTGAAATTATTCGCTAGATTCCAAATTAGAAATACCGTACAAAACTAAAAAAAAAATTTTTTTTTAAGAAAGTCGTTATTTATTGACGTGCTTTAAAACTTTGAAATGTTGCTGTAGAATTTTTACAGCTAGGTTTATATATGTATATATCGTGCCCATTAATGTTTCCGCGACGGCAATAAAAGACGGCGATAAAAATTTTATCCACATCCATAATTTTTCCGTAATATCGCCCTGATAATGTGTTTTTGACGCAGTTGAATCGTAGATAATAATAATATTACAGCAAAAAAAAATACAATAAAATATCGGTAATGTGACGTATCAGTAGGCGACAGAGATACCATTAAAAAGATAAACCCGGTGAAAAGTCGTCTCGTGTGAATGATCATCGAAAAGTCATCGTAAGGCAGGCGTTACTTGATGAATACAAAAAAGATAAATTATCTCATCTCACTTATGCTAAAAAATATGCATTGTTAATTAGAATTCACATAAGATATATTCTACTCTATTCAAGAACTATTACGCGTTGATGATTTATTATTGTAAAAAACTGCAAATACAAAACCCGTATCTCGGTGAATTTTAAATTTTTATTAAATAACAAAAACTGTAAATTTCTATATTATATCTATAAAAACGCTCGATAAATTCGACAAGTTATGGCAGCTCGATTTTCTGCGAATCGAAGAATTGCATTATCTAGAAAGATTTTTAAAAGTTTCCTCTACTTCTGAACGAAGCGACGTATATCGGATTATTGATCTTGCTAACCTGAACACTTAAAACCGACGAAATATCCACTTTTCAAGGACTCGTATCCGATCGCGCCTAAGTAGTGCACGAGAAATCGGTCAGTGTGTAAGCTCCGCGATTGCATCCGTTAACGTAAAGTAATACGTTTATTTTTAATATGCATGTTAATATAATCAATTTTCTACGGACGATAAATCACACCTTCTTGCAAGGTAGATCTCCCGATGTATTACGCGTAATTGTTGTGTGGCTAATCCTCTATGAAGTTAAGTGTGTCAAGATGCATATATCCAGGTCAGAAATATTGGCTATTTCATGTGTTATAATCCGAAGATTTGCAACAATCTCTTATTGAAGACGAACAATAAATATAAAACAATTTGCATGTATATACAATATAATTAGTAATTTTTTATACTCTTTAATGCATTTCCACAAAAATTCTTTATTGTTATATTTTTTAATACTTTCAAAATTTAAGCTTTTTATAAGTACTTTTTTTATAAATAGATTTCTTTATTATAAATTTATTTTTTTATATTTTAAAATAACTTTAATTTCTAATTTTAATTCTTTTAAAACGCACGTAAAAAAACTCAAATTTTACGGCTTACAATAGATTAAAAAGATTTAAAAAATATTACTGAAATAATGTGAGGCTCGCTAAAATACAATACAGGTTGGTAGAAATCGGCCGATTTAATCGTAAATATGCGATTGCATGCAACGTATAATAGCGAGATTTGCACGCACGAATGATACCGGTATCTCCCAAGAAAAAATGCGCTCGATAAATATCACCGTGCGTAAATAATCTTATCAATCTTTAAAAATATTATTCAATAAAACTCTGATTTAAAAGTAAAAGTTTGCCATTTGCTTATTCTTGTTTAATTCGTTTTATTCGATTTTAATAATTTAAAGATTTATGAACAGTTATTCCTCTCCCACTTTTCACTATTTTTTATTAGCATTTTCAAAATCATAAAAAAAAAATTGAAATCCGGAGACATATAAAATAAATGTCCATTTATGTCTCTTTCCATGCACTTGTTCCTTGCAGGTCACTTTTCTCTGCCGATGCATTTTCCGATGTGTGCATTACGCGACCGTGTTCTTGGGCTACATTCTTTGCCGCTTTCAGATGACAAATTATTCATATTTACTTACGTAATGCCGACTCAGCCGTCGTCCTCGTCGTTTTCGTCGTCGTCGTCGTCGGCGTCGTTGGACGTTCCTTGCGTGAGCGCACAGCCGGGTTCATTAACTGACCAGTAAAATCCCTCTTTATGTAACTCACAACAAGTTCTCTGAGAAAGAGAGT